AGTTTATTCAGCACAGGTAAGATTTGCTTCATTATTGCAAGAACTCCGATGAATTTCATATGGTGCATCTTTTGCAGAAGACCTGCAGCAAGAGCATCAGTTCTTACCAGTTTCTTAAATGCCTGCATTAGGGGTAGGTAGTCACTAAAAACACCCTTGATGGCCTTGGAAAGAGATAACCATCGCGTACGTGTCGCCTTACCTAGACGCTTTTGATTCGCCTTTTGGGCTTTCACAGATGGCTCTTGAAGCTGCTTCACAGACAGCTGACACTTGAAGTAGATGGCGAGGCGCTTAGGAGAATTATCAAAAAACTTCCAGGTTTGGATGAGCCACCTTTCCACTTCTTTGATGTAGCCAATTTCTTGATTGGTGTCACAGCAGGCTAGGGAGAGCTTGTGGCAAATAGATTGAATACTAACCAGACTTCTGTTCAGCTCTTTCAGTTTAGCTGCCACTCCGTTTCTTTTTTCTGCCATGACAGATGCCCCGTCAGAACAAAACCCTAATAGCTGGTCGACTGACACTCTACATTCAGTAAGCTCATCCAAAACATTCTTTGTAATGGTGGCTGCATCGGCAGAGTCAGATGACTCCAGAAGATTTCGCACACCCAACAGCTATCTAAGTGAGCAAACTACGAAGGATCAAGCATATACATGTAATCGTTACAATCTTCAATCTGTGATAACTCGTCAGCCTCCTTGTTAAAATCCACTCTACAGTCAGGCGAATGTCAAATGACCGGCACAACTTGTAGATGTCCACTGCCTCGTTATGAAGGTCAGCTTTGCGGCTGCCCACGGAAAGAATGATTCAGTGTCCTTGTTATCAGTCCTGCGCAGAACCTCCTTCCCTTGCAGCTGAGGAGCAAATGATTGCAAGGCAAGGCTAGTAGTCCTAAGTTCCCTGAATGTGGAGCTCATTTTACTCTCTTTGACTGACCAGTTCCCCATTGCGGCCTTCCTCCAAGTTGCACAGCAAATCCACCCCGGCCTGAATCACCGGCATCTGAATAGGTCAAAACCTCAGGTTCTGGGCTAGGTGACCAAATAGGATAACCCGCATTATGAAAATTGTTCTGCCAGAAAAAACCTTTTCCCTGTGCGTCCGGAGATAACTGAAAGGGACTGTCCCATGAAACTATGTGCAGAATATCACGATATAAACTATATGTCCACAGGCATACAACTGGACCCAGCGCCAAACTCTTAGAAGCCAGGAGCCCTGTAAAACATGCTACGTTGCTGAGAGACACTACAAAACCACGAGCTAGAACATCCTGCAGAACATGAAGAACAGCATGCACCCTCTTTTGCGGAACTTGAAATGTCCCTATCTGTAAAATTCAAAACATAACCCAGCAACTCCCCTGACTGGACTGGCACCCAGTGGCTTTTCTCTTTATTTGCGACAAAACCACTACGCTGTGCATCTTGCCTTACCAAATTTGAAACCCTCTACGCTTAAAAAAATCAGAATCTGCACCTGCATCCTCATCCAGATAAGTAAATATACGAATGCCTCGACTCCTCCAGTGCTTTGTTAGATAACCTTCACGAATGAGTTTCAGCATCCAGTTACTTGCTCCGATACCGCCCCTAAAGTCAATGGTTGTACGTAAACGACCTTTAACGACAATGCAACTGTAAACAACATTCTCAAATATGTCACTTTCGCTGGTAATATGCAAGGAATCCATACTCGCTTCACATGCAACTAAATGATCATCCATCCCGTATAAAGGAACACTACCGAGCTGGCTGTTGGTAATTAATTGAGGTTTGTCCAGCTGATCCTGGTCCGTTGAAAACATTGGCGGCAGGGTAATCTCTAGCGAAGTAACCTGGTTCGAAGCAACGAAAACGAACAGACTGCCCATCACAAGCCTGATTCTGTTTTCCCACCACAAATGGTGATAGCCCGCTCGGGCTATTTCGGTCAAAGATAATTCTCCTATCCGAAGACCGCAGAATCACTCCTTTCGCCCTCGCAACTTTAGAAGAAGGATTTCATTTCCTTTCCTCCCTTAACTGCTTGCTCTCCTTTATAGCTTTACGAATTTTCTTTTCATAATCTGAGTCACTGGCAAGCGGATCGGCAGTATAACAAGCTACTGTTTGTCAAATCGCACAAGTTATTTCTTCATCCATTTTAAAATTCTTGAATGTCTAAAAATAATTAGAATGGAAATCAGATTGTGCCAAGCATACTTCGTAGACCTTGCCGTCCTTTTCTTGGTTTAATCAAGTAGTGTTTTTAAAAAAATAATTAAAAAAATTCAAATTCATGAAATAAAAAAAATTAGGAAACAGGCTTTTTTTGCCAGACTTTGCTAGAAGTCATACAAGTTTTTTCTTTTTAACTTTTTTATATGTCTTTTTAATTTTTCCCGCGGACTTCAACAGGGTTGACAAAAAAGAGTTACAGACCACAAATTGTGAGGAAAGAATTAAAACGTGACTGTGCTTTTTTTATCACAGCTGTCACCCTAAGGCTGTTGTAGTTACAGATTGCCTTAATATCTAAATGTTTTAATTGATAAATGTTTTACAAATACTTCTTCTCTACGGAAAAGCTATGTATGAAGACTTGACATCGGAGTCTCGCACACTTCTATACGTTTTGATATCTTCTCTCCTGTCTTTCCATCGTGTAAACATCAGATATCTGGAATTAAATATTCTTCAAGTGTGCAATGTCTTTTTAATTTTCAGGGAATAGGAATTACGCGTCCGTATCTTCACAATCCGTGAGAGAGCATCGTTTGTGATGTTCTCAATCGCTGTGTAAGTTTTATTCATGTGAGCACACTCTTTCTGGTGCCACCTGGTTAACAGTAATGATTGTTCTAAAACTGTATTTAAGTATTCCGATTTTCTTTTATTAGAACTAAAGAATATTGTAGGTATTCTTGAGTGTGTCTTACCTGAGCTGAATATTGAACAATCGCATCTTCCAGCCATTTTGCTCGCCAGAAATTCAAAACATGCAGGGCAAGCACAAAGACTCCTTACTGAAATGTCCATGCGTAACAGTGATGGCGCCAGCTCCTGTAAGAGCGACTTCTTCGAAACTCGCAAAGGTTAATTTTCCCACAGAAACTGTTATTTTATTTCTGTTAAAATACCTAATTTTCAAAATGAACATAATTAACTCGCTAAGTTTTAAGCTGAAAAATAAAACAAAAATTATAAAGCACAAACAACCGAAACAGACCACGCAAAAAAGCTCTATAAATAACAGGTTTACTGTATATTTGAACGCGCCCAGCTAATGTAGCTTTTATTCACCAAAATAATATATTTCCTCACTTAAAGTATTAAGAACACATTAAAACTGAACGTGTAAGCTCAAAATTTCATTGCATTTAACTAAGTTAAAGATCTTTTCATGTGCCTTATAAAAAAAGTTTAGGCCAGCCTCGTTCCCATGGACTCATAAAACGGGTCTCACAGCTTCATAATAAATCCCGTTTTTTGGTAACTTTCCGTAATGGGAGTTTTGGGGACTTTTGATATGTTAATAAGGATATATTGCAGAGTCTAAAACCGTTGAAAAACCTTCTGTTGCAATTAGCGGCAGGTTGACCGATTTTTTTCCATAGAATGACTGGACTAGGGTAAGCATGAGTAACCACGATGAGTATAAAAAGAAAATAAGCTAATTACCTTTTTTGAACAAAGTTGGTTACTCGTGGTTACTCGTGGCCAGTCTCCTCCTGACCTCATAGTTTGTACTGTGAAGTACATTCTTCAAAGACCCTTATGGGTATATGGGCAATGAATCTGCTGCACAGATTTAGCGATGCTATGCAGCTTAGCTGTGCATTAGAAGTTGGAACATTTTTCCTGAACATTCTCCTGCGCATAGCAATCATGGCTATTTCATCGTCCATCCCACCCTTATCAAATAGCAAAACTTCGAATAAACACTTCGAACTTTCTAGGGATATATTCAAATACAATATATTATCTGCCATCGATTCCTATACCGATCACACTTAGTTACCAGAGGAAAATCAATCATTCTGTACGTGGGTATGCTGCGTAATTACTTGAAATCACTACCGAGTACAAAGATTGTCAAAACTAATTTTCCCTCGAAAAACACAGGAAACGGATTGTATGGGTATCTTATCTATCTTCTGAAAAACGACCCGGTGAATATAGTAATCTCAACTAGTTGCCGTCTCCTAACCGGTGCTAATAGGACAACAGCGCGAAGATTTCGGTTCAGACAATCGGTGACAAAATGAGTTGAGACACTGCCCAAAAGTGGGCTTTTTTACGTTTTATGAACTTGAAAAGGAGGAAATATAGCTTTACTCCCCCATCCCCTCCGTGCAATGTTGTGCCCTTGTTCTAGCTACCTACAGAAAACAACAAACACCCCAACTTTGAATGGAGGGGACAGGGGAGGGGTGCGGATTCTTTTGTTCTCCGAAGTCACCCTATTTAAGTAAATGTAAATGTAAATGTCGCGATTGAGAGGACAAACATACATGTCCTCTTTACAAAGCTTTTTGCAGTGGGCTCGGACATCAGCATACTAAGGGCGCCGATGGCAGCCGCTATCAGTCCATTTATGAGCCCACTGAACCCTCCCAACCCATGATGAGTGATGATGTAAGTGATGAAGATAGACCACAACACCGGGAACCATGTCCCCTAGTCTTTTCGAATAGTGTGTGGGTTCTTTAACGTCCGACAGAGTTATATGTGAACAAGGTTTGTAAGACGGGACCTCCAGTTTATCGTCCTTATCCGAGAAGACTTGAAAGTCTAATCATTTGCAGATGTCATTACAAAGACAGCACTTTCGCCTCAGTTATTTTTAAGACCCTGAGTGTTGGTCCGGCCAGGATTCGAACTCGCGACCTCCCGCTCAGCAGACTGGCGCTCTCCCAACTGAGCTAAGCGGGCGGCGGTTAAGTACAATGTCTCAACAATTTTGTCGCCGACTGTATATGGCCTAATAGGGAGGTTATAAGAGCTACAATGCCTGACAGCTTTAAAGAGAAATACTCTTGCACCCGTGTAATAATCGATTGTACAGAAATTAGATGCCAAATGCCTTCCAGCCTTCTGTTGAATTCCAAATTGTTCAGCTCCTATAAGAACCATGTAACTCTAAAAGGCTTAGTTGGAATTGCTCCCAGTGGAGCTATAACTTTTATCAGTCAGCTATGTAGTGGAAGCATTTCCGATCACGAAATTGTTGAACGAAGTGGTTTCCTGAAGTTAGAGTTTGACAATGGTGACACCGTGATGGCCGATAAAGGTTTTACAATTGGAGACCTACTCATACTGGGTGTAACCCTAAACATTCCCCCCTTTTTAGGGTCTAATAGCCAAATGACAGCACAAGATTTTATCAAGACTCAAGAAATTGCTTCTGTTAGAATACATGTTGAACGGGCCATCAATAAAATCAAGAATTTTCACTTATGGGATAGTGTTGTACCCCTCAGTTTGTTTGGGGTAGTAAACCAAATGTGGAGTGTCTGTGCCTTTTTATGTAACATTCAGGACCCTCTTATTTCCACTTAACACTGAGTTAGGCAGAGCTCTGAGGCACACTATAGAATTTCAGTCAATTTAATAAATGTAAACCTGATGATACACCTCAGGCCAAATATTTTCTAAACCAACTAAAACTAAGGATGTGATTCGCTTGCTTTCAGTCCCAAACACTTAAAAGATGTCAGCTTTTACATGTAGTTCTAAAGAGAGCGTCCATCTGAAAACCATGCAGAGTGGTCTACCGACCATCTCTCCAATTCCTTTCATATTTGGCACACATATGCACCTTAACTAACTGACTTAGCATGTGGAACAGTTTAGCCCACATTCTATTGTTTTGGAGAAACGTCAATCAAACGGTTTAATGGCTAAATGGACTAAAATTTCATGCAGAAATGACCTTGTGTTTGATCACCTCGTGCACGCAAAATAATCAACCAAATGAAATGATTTTTTTTCGAAGGATTGCTTGCACCCTAAACATAAGAAAAATGGTCACTTAACTATTCAGTTCTGTTTCGTCTTACTAAGAGAAAAACTTAAATAAATCAAGTAAAACTGACACCAGTGAAGTATGGTCTCAAAAGCGACTGTTTAAAGAAATGCGGCGCTGTTTTAATAAAGTTTAAAGCCATCTTGAGTTAATCAAAGAAACCTTAACACATGTAGCAAAAAATCTTTGTAAAGTTGAATTTATTACTGTTATTTGCATTCAGAAAGTGACCATTATTTCAACGCGAATGCAAATGAGGCCAACCATAAAATCTTGACTTAGCTGATATTTATCAACTTTATCCGACGGGTGAAAGAAGAAAATACTTTTATTGACATTATTACATTAAAATAATCCCATGTCGCTTAAAACAAATTGTTTGTGTGAAAATTGGAGTTAGTTCACCTTGCGATACAATGTAATTTTGACCAAAACACACCTAAACTGAGATTATCGCATCACTAACAAATGACTTGGATTTTTAAACACGAGCAGCTTACAGTTAAATCGAATAGGGCGATTTAGTGAATTTGTCTCTTACCTTCTTTTTTCAATATAAAACGCTCATGTTGTCGTCATAACCTCTAGCAATGAAACGGCAAAACAGATGTGATCAAAATAAAGATAAACGGCAGGCCGTATAAACTAACAGATTTGATCCGCGGGATCAACTTCAGTCTACAATTCTGCCTTTGTTTACCAGGTACTTGAATAAAAATGAGCATAAGTCTTCTTTTTGCCCTGAGTTGAAACGGAACTGTTCATTTTGTTCTGAAGAGGAGCTAGCAAAACTTTTGACCAGAACAACAGAAGGAAATGATTGTGTGACCTTTGACGTGTGGTGACTGCAGGTGCAGATCACTTGATATCAGATTTCACACTTTCGATACTGATGGCTGAGTGTTCTTTTAAGTGTTATTCTAGTAAAGAATGCGGAGTGTCCAGACGATACTCTGCACAAACAGCCATTGTGCCATTAAAAACGTGTACAAACGACGTTTTACCTCACCTGAGAGGTTGTTACAAAACAGTATATTTTGAGTGGAGACTCTGCCTCTACCGAGCAGGACTCTTCCAGGAAGACGGAGATTGTTTAACTATTTGTCCCTTACACAGAGATAAGTTCAAATTAGGCTGGCGGCCAAGCAAAGCGTGTAAATATCCACTGCATGACAGCAAACAAAAATCGACCAGAGGAATTACTAAACGTTTGTCGGAAGAAATATATCAGAAATGGAATGTGTTGTGTCAAATTGGACAAGGTTAGCTCATATTTAGTTTATTTCACATTGTTTAATTTAAAGACTAAGTTCGTAAAAAATCTCACTTCCTTCATCGGATCTTTTAGGTATTCGCATGAAATGTTTGGACATGCACTCGAAGTTTAGACCATCTACGAGTTCTGGGTCAGTACACATTACGTCATAATAAACCTTACGACAACTTGATCGTGGTTTTACGTATATTTACATAAACTATTACCACAGTAAACTCAGTAACAAAAAATGATTTATTAGTCGGATTAGATCATGCGGAGCTTTCATCCCACAAAAGCACCGTCAATTCTTAACAGGCCAAAATTTGCACTCTTTTCTTGATTGTGTACAGTTAGAATTAGAGAGGTCAAAAGAGGTCGAGCCCCTTTTTCTGAACGTTCAACCTTCACCTTCTGAATTGGAATTAGCGTTGAGATTTATATTTGCATTAAACATTATGCAAATTAATAAAGAAAGGAACCAAAGAAATTGTAAACCCAAACACAAAGGCGCGCTATTGAAAAATGGCTCTCTTGTTTCATTGAATTTTTTACGCTTGACAACCACAAAGCACCACAAAATAAAACTAAGAAAAACTTAAAAGACATTAATTTAAAAATGGTAAAATCACTAACCTGGAGTACGCCAATGTTGCCAAAATGGCAGGCTAAAAATCACTCATTACCGGAAAGACGACCGCCATTTTTGTAAATCCTCCTTTACTTCGTACTAGCGCTGTCTTTTTTAGGTGTTGAATGCTTGTGTCATCTTTCAAATGCTTTACGCCTGCAGCCGCTCTAGAGTTCTTCAAAATGTAGCAAAAATCTTTCCCAACGTTTGTACTAATTTTTAAAGCCCTCATAATACTAAAATAACTTGATCATGAATAATGTTCTCCACACAGATGCATGAGCAATGGAGTGCCTTGCACTGGGTGTATCTATGTTGCATGACAATTCTTGAGATCAGCACCTTCTGTCAGGTTTACCTGGAGAGTCGAATGTCGGTACATGACGACGTTTTAGACTTCCATCATCCATAACAAACAAACCTAACAGGAACAATTCAGGATGGCGGATAAATAATTCTAGTGATTAAAAACTCAAATAATACCAAAAGGAATCCAAAATAACCCTAATGATACATACAAATATGTCTATTGCAAATCCATAAAACAAAGCACGTAGAAAGGGAAAAAGATCATGCGGAGCTTGCGTCCCACAAAAGCACCGTCAATTCTTAACAGGCCAAAATTTGCACTCTTTTCTTGATTGTGTACGGGTAGAATTAGAGAGGTCAAAAGGGGTCGAGCCCCTTTTTCTGAATAGTCAACCTTCACTTTCTGAATTGGAATTAGCGTTGAGATTTATATTTTTCGTTAAACATTATGCAAATTAATAAAGAAGGGAACCATTCGACTGTAAACCGAAACACAAAGGCGCGCTATTAAAAAATGGTTCTCTTGTTTCATTGAATTTTTTACGCTTGACAACCATAAAGCACCAAAAAAATTAAACTAAGAAAAACTTAAAAGACAAATTCATTAAAAAATGGTAAAATCACTTCCCCAGAGTACGCCAATGTTGGCAAAATGGAAAGCTAAAGATCACTGGTTACCAGAAAGAAATTGCACCAAAGCATGCTGGGATATATGGCAAATCTTCCTTTACTTCGTACTAGCGCTGTCTTTTTGAGGTGTTGAATTGTTGTATCGTGTTTCAAATTCTTTACGCCTGCAACCGCTCTAGAGTTCTTCAAAATGTAGCAAAAATCTTTCCCAACGTTTGTACTGTTTGTACTGTACGTTTGTACTAATTTTTAAACCCCTCATAATACTAAAATAACATGATCATGAATAATGTTCTCCACACAGATGCATGAGCAATGGAGTGCCTTGCACTGGGTGTATCTATGTTGCATGACAATTCTTGAGATCAGCGCTTGTTGTCAGGTTTACCTGGAGAGTCGAACGTCTGTACAGTACAACGTGTTAGACTTCCATCATCCATAACAAACACACCTAAAAGGAACAATTCAGGATGGCGGATGAATAATTCTAGTGATTAAGAACTCAAATAATACCAAAAGGAATCCAAAATAACCCTAACGATACATACAAATGTCTATTGCAAATCCATAAAACAAAGCACGTAGAAAGGGAAAAAGATCATGCAGAGCTTGCATGCCACAAAAGCACCGTCAATTCTTAACAGGCCAAAATTTGCACTCTTTTCTTGATCGTGTACGGGTAGAATTAGAGAGGTCAAAAGGGGTCGAGCTCCTTTTTCTGAATAGTCAACCTTCACTTTCTGAATTGGAATTAGCGTTGAGATTGATATTTTTCGTTAAACATTATGCAAATTAATAAAGAAGGGAACCATTCGACTGTAAACCGAAACACAAAGGCGCGCTATTAAAAAATGGCTCTCTTGTTTCATTGAATTTTTTACGCTTGACAACCATAAAGCACCAAAAAAATTAAACTAAGAAAAACTTAAAAGACAAATTCATTAAAAAATGGTAAAATCACTTCCCCAGAGTACGCCAATGTTGGCAAAATGGAAAGCTAAAGATCACTCGTTACCAGAAAAAAAATTGCACCAAAGCATGCTGGGATATATGGCAAATCCTCCTTTACTTCGTACTAGCGCTGTCTTTTTGAGGTGTTGAATTGTTGTATCGTGTTTCAAATTCTTTACGCCTGCAGCCGCTCTAGAGTTCTTCAAAATGTAGCAAAAATCTTTCCCAACGTTTGTACTGTTTGTACTGTACGTTTGTACTAATTTTTAAAGCCCTCATAATACTAAAATAACATGATCATGAATAATGTTCTCCACACAGATGCATGAGCAATGGAGTGCCTTGCTCTGGGTGTATCTATGTTGCATGACAATTCTTGAGATCAGCGCTTGTTGTCAGGTTTACCTGGAGAGTTGAACGTCGGTACATTACAACGTTTTAGACTTCCATCATCCATAATAAACAAACCTAAAAGGAACAATTCAGGATGGCGGATGAATAATTCTAGTGATTAAGAACTCAAATAATACCAAAAGGAATCCAAAATAACCCTAACGATACATACAAATGTCTATTGCAAATCCATAAAACAAAGCACGTAGAAAGGGAAAAAGATCATGCAGAGCTTGCATGCCACAAAAGCACCGTCAATTCTTAACAGGCCAAAATTTGCACTC